ACTAGCTTCGTAGCCCAATGTGTTAATACAGTTTTTAACCTATGTAAATACAAAGTTTTAACCTAATCGGTAAATCCGTTTTGTGTGAAAGAATAACAAACATCCATACACATTTATAATTTTATTAGCTGTTGGTTAGTTAATCCATAAAATCCGTTTTCATACGTGATATCTTTATAGTACTTATTGCAATTAAAACTTTGCAGTCGCAGAAAAAATCATCCTGCTGTATACGTCACATGAAAATAACATGGAAGTTCGCGTGTGTAGTGAACGGTGAAATGTCATTATATCATACGCGTTGAAATCTCGCATCCATCACATTTACGAGTGCTGGCTTTTAACCGCGGCTTTGCCCACGAGAATTTAACCTTTTCCTTCTCTGATTTACAACTAAAGATGGTTGGTTGAGTACTAAACTTACTTTTTCCTAAATGGGCAGGCATTTGGCTACTATCACGCCTGGTGGTATGCGATAATGCGATCTATGATGGAACATGCCGACCCATAAGCAACCTATTCAGTGAATTGGCCCTATAGAAACCCAGGTATAACCTTCGGAGCACACTGACTCCGAAAAAGAATTACACAGAAAACACTCCTTAGCTGTTCGGATTATCCACCACAGACAGACGGGCCCCTATAGGCCTGATGTTCAGCAGAGGTTGTGGGGAAAGAGCTTAAGCTCAAAGAACCAATATACCACCACAGAGAGGCCCCTACAGGCCTGATGTTCAGCAGAGGTTGCGGGGAAAGCCCCTCAGCCTAGACCAGGAGAATAAACGGAAGAGTTTTTAGTCTGTAAGCGTCTGACTGAATGAAGAACTCATTTGATAAATTTCCCCTCACAAAAAAAAACAGTTGGGTTTATAAAACCTTTGGATTTTTGCGTTGACTTTTGCATTTATTATGTTAGTTAGGATGGTATTATTTATGTCACACACATCACTTGTCTATGATCCTGCCAAAATTAAAGCAAGGAGGTTACACACATGGCGCAGATTATGTTAATGGTCCCCGACACCGTTTTGTTTCTATTTAAATTTATATTCAAATGTAAGCCTGTTAATCATGTTGAAATCATAACTCATGTTGGTATTGCGAATGTGTGTTTGATTTGTTACGCTTTTACTCATAAATTGCTGTGTCGATTTTGTTGAATGTTGTGGATTTGTAAAATTGGTCTTCACAATAAAACCCTTTGTATGCTTATCTCTACTGAACGTATCTAAATCTTTAAAACTACAGAACAGATTTTGTTGCGGTTTTTTTATAGATAGAGTAATAAAATTAAAGAGTAAGGTTTATATTTATGTATAATAACATTCATTGAACTTTTGTCTGACGGTATGACACATAATATAAAACACACTGTGTCTCGTGTATATCACGGGTTAGATAGTGGAGAAATTGAGTATCAGCATTACACCCGTGCGAAGCTGGGGTTAGTCGCCAGAATTATAACAAAACTTACATAATATTTTTTACAGAACAAAAATGTTTAACGAGAATAGCCTTTAACGTTATCGTCAACAGTTTTTGACAATTACTATATAAGGATATTAGGATATGGACCTAGTCTACGGAAAACTACTGTTCAAAAAGTCCGGGTTTATCAGAGAATGCCGCTGCCTGATCTCTGTCAATTGTTTAATCCCAAATAAGAGATCATCTTGGGTAAAGTCACACGATGATTAATATTGTGCGTAAAATTAGATACCAATGTAACTAAATCATCCTATCTTTACTTATTTGCAAGCGTACGAATTGTATTACATTTTAAACTCTTTTGAATTGTATTCTGTGAAGTAGCTTTGTTTCATAAAACTTACGAAGTCGAATATATCCTTTAACTCTTTATTTTTTCAATCAAGTTTTGCTGCCATCAATCTCTGGTCATTTACCATACAGACATCCTTAAAAATGTGACCTTTTAACTCTCACAAATATTTAAGATTACATTATCTTAACCCGTCTCTACAAGGAGGTCTGACATTATCAAAAGTTTACAACCAGACTGACCATTACAAACGCTAGCATAAACCCTTATTTCTTCTTCGTTAAGGTTTAGAATACGAATTTTTAACCGTAAAAAACAATTGGTATAAAAATATCGTTGCGCGTGAGTAACCAATCACGGGGCGTTGCTCGGATTCCAAATTTCAAATTCCTGACGTACCAACGGCGCCATCTTTTTATCTTTATATTTTTATTGGTTTTTCTAGAAGGGAAAATTGCTTGTTCGTTTTGTGAGTGTTTTAAAATTATATTGATTAATACTGTTCAGTTGTACATCAACACAACAGCATAAACTACATACCATATGTATAATATGTAGCAAGGTAAAGGCACTATGTTTCTTACGCTTGTAAAACTAGCGAATCTTCTATCTTTAATACATCATGTGTGGGAGAGCCATGCTTCGGCACGAATGGGTCGGCTCGACCGGAGTGATACCACCGCCTCACAGAAAACCGGCGTGAAGTAACCACAGCGTTGTGTTTCGCCGTGTGAGTGAGGTTACCGGAGGCCCAATCCTTCCCCTCCCACAATCCCTAAATCTCCAAATCCCTAATCCCTAAAAGGTCGGCAACGCACTCGTAGCTCCTCCGTTGCGAGTGTCCATGGGCGGCGCTGATTGCTTACCATCAGGTAATCCGTCCGCTCGTTTTAAAAAATCATGTATCCTACCAATATTATGAATGTGAGTTTGTGAGAATGTACCGATGTATTTTTGTTATATTATGACAAGCAAAACGGCTGGATCGATTTGATTGAGATTTGGTATGTAGATAGGTTGTACCCTGAATCAACACATAGTTTTCTTTTTATCCACATTCGACGCGGGCGAAGCCGCGCGCGGAATCTAAGTGTTTTATACGTAAAGACGTGTACCTCCCGTTTTCAAGTACTTGAGGATAAAAAGAAGCGCGTGATTATATTCGACTCTCACAGTAAAGCAGTGCACCCCAATCTCTGGACTATAGATAATCAATTTTAAAATCGCTTACATCAAAGATTAAATCCGTAGTCACAAAATCCGCGAGTTCAAACCAAACTTACCGGTTACTCTCGAGATTCAATTACGACAGAGTTTCTCAAACTTTTCGATTTATACTACTATTCCTAGCACCTTAAATTATTAATTTAGCTTATAAATGGTTACCGTGGCTGACCAACTTGATGTGAGGGCCTGGAGGTTATGGCTCCTCCTGCATGAGGAGGCGGATTCGAAACCTATCAAAGCACTTTCTCAGTTCATTTAGAGACCAGTGATCAATGGTGAAGTAAAACATTGTGAGCAAACCTGGACTTATAATTTCTAACTATAAGTTTGAAAGTGCCCGTGCAACTTCAGCATGTGTGATGATTAAACGTACCCCGTGTGAAAAAAAGCTTTTGCTCAGCAGTGTGCTCTGTCAAGCGTCTGATGCGTACGGTAGCCAAGTTATTGTAATTCGGTCTTTTTTTAGGGACATCTGGGAGATGTGCAGTTTAGGTGTTATTGTGGTTGTTTTAAATTTATTCTATCTATCCTATAATTGAGGTCATAATAATCTCGGTTAAATTAATTCTTCGTATATGTATATCATAATGAAGTTGATAAAGTAAACTAAACCAAGGAAATTATTAGTTTTTATCGACAAAAATATCCTTACTTTTGTATGAAAATCATTCGTCCACTAACCGTCTCTCACACATCGCAAATCCACAAAATCATTAATTATGTTTTAAAATGTTGTTTTGATGTGGTTATGGATGTCGTTTGAGCTGCCTTTTCTTTGCATTGTTATAATGTACGTTGTAAATTAATTTTCTTTCAACACCGATAAAGTTTGAGCATCGCATGAAGCGGTTACAAGCGCAGCAAATATTGACGCAACTTATAATTGGATGTACATCCAACGAGAGGAAGATGCTCGCTAGCAAATCGAGATTTTTATAATTTTCCATTGTTCTCCCCCCTTTTAGTGGGGGTACACAGCCGTGAAATAATTTTTAACAACCAATATTGGACTATGTAATAAGCGTGCTTTTGCAAAGAAGAAAATTATCGCTTGAATTAAATAAGTACTGGACTCCAGATATAGATTTGGTTTCAGTTTTTTTTTGTGTAATTTGCTCCGTAGTTTTCTTTTCTTTCTTTCTTCTTTATTTCATATTCAAATTTATCAAGATGTGATCTATAATATAGCGGTTGAGAGAATACACTAGTGTTTTGACCGAAACGCGACGAAGCGATGACGTCACAGAGAAGGCCGGTATTAGTTTTGGGTATTAGTTGATTAAAGTCCGCAATAATAATTCCCTTATATAGTCACGTATCCATCCAGACACAACAACAAGCCAAGCCAATCTCAAACTCTTTACCTTAATCACACAATATGCCAGGCGCCATGTTGGAATCCTAACACAACATCCATGTACCGCCCTAAGCAGTAACTGACCAACAACAAACAATCTATTATTATTGTTGTAACACAAAACATACATTGTTTATCTTTCATACGGGTTTAGCGGCTTAGTCAACGTGTGGTTTTTATGTAAATTGACGGTAGATGGCGTTAAAACAAAACGGTGGGCTGATTTGACAGAAAAGGTAGGTAGGCGTAGGTAAATAAATTATTTTGGTCATTTTATACCTAAAATTTGACCAAAAATCTAGGTTGTTCTTTGTTATTATGTACTGTGATTTTATATAAAAATTGATGTACTAATGTTATAAACATGTATCTACAATCCTGTCGATCTGAAGGCTGTAGTGATAGGTATACGTAACGTCTCTAAAATTTCGATTTTATCCGATATGTTTTCACTTTCATACAAAAATAAAATAAAATTCAATTTAAAAATATTTTCAGTTTTGACTATTTTGTTATTACTTCAATATTCCATATGTACACTGTGTGCGTACATGTGTGTTTTGTCTATGGGCGGGCTTCACATATATCAGCGTGTCTCCCATAAAAAATATCCCTAAATTAATCTTCTTGTTTCAGTTACCTCTGCCTGACTGGTTGTATCAACCGTGCTGAGAAAGCAGGTGCCGCCCGAGAGAGCATTCAGACCTTGCTGACTGTCTGCGCAGACCTCTGCCATCCTTGCGAGGTTGATGTTGTAAGTACTGTTAATGTGTTTGTATGAAGTTTGTGCTAATTAAGAAGATGTTGATGTCGCAAGCGACTGTAATTATGACGACACCACTATATACGATGATAAAAACTGTATATTTCGTATTGGTTCGCCTTGTGTGCTGCGGAGAAAGGGTTGGAAAAGATAACACATATTTTTGTATTAACACAGAGCACTATTTTGTATACTTACAAACTCAACGTGAGAGTACATTTTGAAGAACTATTTGGTAGCCATATTTGTTTCATGCTGTTAAAATCATCTTTGACTAGGATTTCATAAGGCTTTTTTAGATTCGGCAACCAGGAGTTTTTCTTTCACAACTAACCTCTTCACACCCAGGGCTCGGAACGCATAGTGGCGACCCAATCGCTCCGCTGCGCCCTCGGCACTGGTATCGCTGGCTCCCGCGCAGAATTCTGCATGCTGTTCGCTCAGGGAGCAGGATTGGAACACAGTGGTGGATTCGTCAAGGCAGCTCGCACCGCCCATCTGCTGCGGACCTTGGCTGAACTGGATCATATGATCGTACAGGTTAGTCATGATTTTTTTACATGGTGAAAGACTTTAGACTTAATAAAGGGAAAAGGTGATGTTGGTAGGGACGGAGACGAATTGAAACTACTAAAGTTAGGATTGAACTCATTTATTTAAGGTATGTGGGTAATATTTATATAAAATAATCTAGGTAACTAGCATACCATATATGGTTAACCTAAATCTAGTGTTACAATGTCTCTAGTTACTAATTGAATATTATTCGTATTACAAGTGAATGAACTTATTGGAATCTAGATCTTCAGGCACGTGTCTCGTCTCGAGTAACATTAGTCACACGGCCATGAATCACTATAATATTATTATTAATATTTTAAGTACCTAACCTAACTTGGATACATACCACATATTCATCCCTGATGGAAAAAAAAAATATAATCATTATATAAGGTTATATTTTTTTTTTTTTTTTTTTTATAATTATACATATATATTTTTTACATTAGTACATAATTTAGTGCGATTCTTATGAATCAATTCTAATTTACCATTTTTTAGTATTTCCACATTCGGACTTAAATCTCTAACAACTTTGTATGGACCCGAAAATACACTGGTGAATTTATTTCTATTTTCATTTTTTATTAATATATCATCATTTGGCTTATACTGTATTTGATTAATGTTCTTATCATATATATTTTTCCTTAAATTTTTTGTATTTATAAGGTTTTCTCTTGCTGATTTTTGAGATGCCTGAAGCCTATATCTTAATTCTAATGGATAACTTTCGAAATTATAAATTGGGTCGATATGAGTTGTCAAGTTGCTAGGTAAAGTGCATTTCTTGCCGAAAACTAATTCAAATGGAGTGAACTTTGTCTTTGTATGAACTGAAGTGTTATATGCAAAACACCAAAATGGTAACCATTTACTCCAATGCTCTGGACTATTGTCAGTTTGAATACGAAGATAAGCACCAAGATTCTTATGACAGTTTTCTAGAGAACCTATACTTTGATGATGATATGCTGTTGATGTAAGTTTATTTATTTTTAATAGTTCACAAACCTTTTGAAATACGTCGGATACAAATTCTGTACCTCTGTCTGTGGCTATAGTCTCAGGAATCCCGTATCGAAGTATAAAATTACTTACCAGTTTTTCTGCAACTTCAATGGAGCTCTTAGTTACTAAGGGATAGGCTTCAACGTATTTAGTTAATTCACATTGTAGAGTCAAAATGTATGAGAAATTGTCTTCATCTCTATCTAAAGGACCCACAATGTCTAGAAATATTTTCTGAAATGCTGTATCCGCAGTAGTTGTTATATTCATGGGTTCTTTTATATTCCGAGAATATTTTTCTTTTTGACATTTAATACACTTTTTAACATATTTCTTAATATCATCTTCTAATCCTACCCAAAAATAATAGTTTTTTATATTATTATACATTCTCCTAATGCCTGCGTGGCCACTCGAAGGCAATATATGAAAATCATTTAGTATAACTTTTTTTTTCATCATTATTATTAATTCTTATTACGTCTTTTAATACACATAGACGCGGACCGGTCCAATTTTCATTATTCTTTATTTCATTAGCTAGCTTCTCTACAAATATATTATTATTCTCATTTTTAATTATAATTATTTCACTTATTTCCCATTTATTGCTTACTATACCAAGTTCCTTCACAAAGGTGGCTCGCATCATTTGCGATGAGGAATATGGTTTTATATATAATGTTTTATTTTCTTCTACATATATAAACGTTTTCGACTCTTTTACTTTCATATTTATCTCTTTTCGTAACTTTATTAACTCTAATTTTTTCATAAAACGTAGTTCGACGCATTGCTTCGGTTTAAAATTCATATCTACAACTTTCGGTTGATCAGTCCGATCGTTGCTATGCACTGAGGGTAAACATTCTTTTGATTTACTCCCGTTTTCGTCTATGTTAAGTTTTTTCTTCATTGCTCTAGTCATAACACATAAACATTCACTCATTTCCTTTAAATTTTTTGATGTTATTTGAATTCTAGATAATGTGTCTGCTACAGTATTTTCTTTACCTTTAACATAATCTACCGTAAAATCAAATTCCTCTAATGCAAGTCTGAACTTTATTAATCGACTTGACGGATCTTTCATATTAAAGAGATATACTAACGGCTTATGATCGGTTTTAATCGTAAAATGTCTGCCAAATAAATATGGTCTGAAATATTTGGTTGCCCACACAATGGCAAGAAGTTCTTTTTCGATTGTTGCATAGTTTCGTTCTGCTTTATTCAAATTTCTACTTGCGTAAGCTACTGGCCGTCCATCATTATTAGATAAAACTGCACCTAAAGCATAGCCTGACGCATCAGTACTCAAGACGAATTCATTGGATTGGTCAAAATTTGGATATTGCAGTACTGGTGGATTACACATTGCCTTTTTTAGTATTTCAAATGCTTTTTGGTGATTATTATCCCAGGTAAATTTTACATTCTTCTTACTTAATTGGTTGAGGTGATATGCTTTTTCTGCAAAAGCTGGAATAAATTTCCTGTAATAATTGGCTAACGCTACAAAACTTTTTACTTCCTTCTCATTAGTTGGAATAGGATATTCTATAATGCTTTTTATCTTTTCCGGGTCAGGTAGAATACCATCAGCAGATACTACATGCCCTAAGTATAAAACTTGCTTCTTTAAAAATTCGCATTTAATTGGATTTAGCTTTAGATTAACCTTTCGTAATCTTTCGAAAACACTAATTAAATTATTTACGTGACTATCTAAATTTCTTCCGAAAACTACTATATCGTCTAAATAAACAAAGCATTTATCATACGTTAATCCAGACATTGCTAAAGTTATCATTCTGCTAAATGCACTTGGGCTTATTTTAAGTCCCATAGGTAACCGGGTCATTTGGTATTGTCCCGAACAAAATGCTGTATATTTCTTTGAATCTGAATCTAATTCTTGTTGGTAATAACCTGAAAAAAGATCAAGATGGCTAAAATAAATTGATCCTGACAATGAGTCTAATATTTCTGTTATGTTTGGAAGAGGAAATTTATCATCCTGTATTCTCTCATTTAGTTTCCTATAATCTATTACAAGTCGCCATTTCTTTTCTCCTGTAGCGTGTGATTTTTTCGGTACCAATAAAACCGGGCTTGACCATTCGCTTTGCGTTGGCTCAATTATTCCATCTTTTAACATTTTGTTAATTTGTGTATCTATTTCTTTTTTATGCATTTGTGGTAACCTATAATTTTTAACAAATACCGGACTAGCATTTGGCTTTAGTTGGATCGAAGTTGGATCGATTGTTTACATAAATTAGTAACTGTTAATTGAAAAATATCAGCGTACTTTGCACAGATTTTTTCTATCTCTATTTTTTCTTCTTTATTTAAATGATCTAATTTTAACTGGTTGAAAAGGATTTTTACTCTATCTGCATTTTTGTTAGTATCATTAAAATAACAATAGTTGTACTCCTCCAGATTATGTATCGTAGGTTTAATATCATGCAATTGTATTTCTTTTTCGGTAGTATTTAAAATTTGAATTGGTATCTTTCCGTCAATTGGTTTAGCAATAGTACTAGCAACGAAAACTCCTTCACTTATTTCTTTTGCACAAATAACACAATCTTCTGTTTTACGTGTTTTGATATATACTTAGTCGGGTCATAAGTTCTGTCAAAACCTTATATTTTTAATTTTCGATTACTGGCCAGAAATTCTTCGACTTATTTTAAAAATAGAACTTTCGCGCTTGTAGAAAATAAAAAAGAAATTATTTTTTATTCATTTTTAAATATGGAGTGGTCGAATAAAGAAGACAGAATCGCGGTTATCGCGTTGCACCGCTGTGGTTACGCGCCAAAAGACATTTTCAATATTCTTCAAAATTTGAAAATAACGTTACGGTTTGTTTATCGTACTATCAAACGATACACCGAAGAGTCAAGCTTCGAAGATCGTAAGAGAAGCGGCCGACCTCGCACAGTTCGGACACATAAGGTCATCAAAGCAGTGAAGGCGCGAATCGAACGAAATCCCGTACGTAAACAAAAAATCCTAGCTCTGCAGATGGGGCTAAGCAGAACCACTGTTAAAAGAGTACTAAATGAAGACCTGGGACTACGAGCTTATCGTAAAAAGACAGGACATTTTTTGAACGAGCGTTTAAAAAAAATTAGGCTAGACAGATCCCGCGCTTTGCTACGACGGTACGCGGGAAAAAAATACCGCGAAATTCTTTTTTCGGATGAAAAAATTTTTACTATTGAAGAAAGTTTTAACAAACAAAATGATAAGGTGTATGCCCACAGCAGTGAAGAAGCAAGCGCGCGTATTGCGAGGGTCCAGCGTGGGCATTACCCTTCCTCATTCATGGTTTGGCTTGGAGTCTCATATTCAGGCGTAACTGAGGTGTTTTTCTGTGAAAAAGGTGTGAGAACTAGTGCCGAAGTTTATCAAAATACTGTCCTAACAAACATAGTGGAACCTCTTTCTCAGACAATGTTCAGGAACAGGCATTGGATATTCCAACAGGACTCTGCACCGGCTCATAAGGCACGAAGTACGCAAGACTGGTTGATCGCTCGTGGAATTGACTTCATCCGGCATGAAGACTGGCCCTCTTCTAGTCCAGATTTAAACCCACTGGACTACAAGATATGGCAATATTTGGAGGAAAAAGTCTGTGCTAAACCTCACCCGAATTTGGAGTCTCTCCGAGCATCTCTGGTTAAAGCAGCGGCAGACATAGATATGAATGTGGTGCGTGCAGCGATCGATGACTGGCCGCGTAGATTAAGGGCATGTGTTCAAAATGGGGGAGGGCATTTCGAATAATGTAAATAAAATTATATTGTACATTTAATGACCTTTCATTTCATATATAATTTTTAAATAATTGTCAAAAGGCGTATAAGTTATTACATCAAAAGTTTGTGACAGAACTTATGACCCGACTAAGTATAATTGACTCTGACCGAGGTGCTAACGTATAACAT